ATCATCAATGAGCCCCGCCATTCTTAGCACCATCCAACAACTCGTCAAAGAGACAAGTGAATCCAATCCTTTGACCAAACGTGTGCTAAACAGTTATGTTATCTCCCCTTCTGCCCTGACCTATTCACATTTCCTATATCCTCCTATCATGCTTTTACTTTTTCACTTTTTACCATGACTATTTCGATGTAGTGTGGTGTGCTCATCTGAGCGGCCTTCATGAAAACCATTCACACTCCACCCTGTCGTTCTCTCCCCCTTCACCCTTGTGCTGGGAATGTTGATCAGAGTCTGCCATATTGTTACGCAGTCCTCCTTACCTAGGTCTTATCACAGGCTCTCTCTTTCCCTGTAAGATCTGTCTACTCTCTCCCTGATTCACATATTTCACTTGACCTCTGCCACCCTATCTCTGCTGCTCGAGGCGTTATTCGCCCTCCCCTTGCTTCTGGGTGATTAATTCGAGGCTAAAACTTCTGAGTAAGTCTCATGGTCACGCCTTTGCCACATGGACCACGTCTATGGTAAAAGCAGACCTACTGTCAGTCAACTAGCTCCAGTCTCCGCCGCGTCTATCTTATTTCTATCCGTAATACCAATTATATGACTTCCCATGCCCTAGTATCTTGTGTGCCAACCTACAAATGTTGTGGTACTGCTTGCTTTGATTAGGTTAAACGTTGAACCACAACGTTTGTAGGTTGGCATATAACTTCTATAGAACGAAAGGAAACTGAGACCACACAAAAGGGCCTACCATCTTGGTCATCATACCTTCGATTAAACTATGGAAGTAAGATTGCCAAACAATGCCCGAATATCGTATAAAAGCCAAAAGGCTACAATACAACGAGATTCATCCGTCCTCATCTGGTGAGATCGACCAACTAATCTCTTCTTCATGTACTTTCATTCGAAACGAAGGTCCCTCTAACACTGATTACAGCCGGACAAAGAAGACAATTGTAAGTCAATCCTGCCATTTGGCCTTTTTGAATTGTTGCAAACATTATGGTATACCTTCCGATGCTGCAATCTAATAAGGAAGTGTCATTCAGAAACAGTTAATGAAATAGTTTATCAGGCCTCTATCTAAAAATTATAGGACAGTTACGAGACTGAGAGGTGTAAGCTAGTTAAGTTCATAGATCTCAAGTCTAGATTACGGAAGGATCTCGGTGGGGTTCTGACTTCGGATGATTTTCAAAAACTCCAGAGCATGACAGACCAGAAGTCGCAGAGGGTTAGGGATCTGATAAATAAGAGGCATGACAATAAATTGCTCAGCAGATGGGATAATAAGACAGCGCAAGACCAAGCC